TGTCACGGAGAACAGTTGAGATGTTTATATTGTTGCACCACCTCAACAGCTTCACCGTTAATGACCACAGGAGTGAACTGAAGTCTTCTCTAAACCAATGACCATCTCCTTTGTCTTAGAAACTTTCAGAACGTGTTGCTGCTTGGATTAACGTCACAAATGATCGTGCAGTGACCATCAAGAGAATAAAAAGAAAAAGCCTCCAGATCTGAAGCAGACTCGCTGGACTTCAGTCTTTGATGGACAGCGATGACAGAAACACCTTCAGATCGAGTCCTCAGCCGGCCTGCTGCCCGCTACATGAACCTGGTTAAACCAACGATTAATCCTTTGCTTTTAACCCAGATTACTTCAAGACACATGTCTGTTACATCTTTTATCCAAGGAAGTGATGTTAAACAAATATTAGAAACCTTTAAATTGCATGCAGCCATAAGGCAACTCGAAGCTTTTTAGGCAGTTTAACAGTAAACCTCGACAGGAGGAAGACTGAATGGCATTAAAGCGTGGACACAATCCAGTTTACATCCAACAGCAGCTTCATAGATTAATAAACTGCTGTGGGAGGAGGTGGAGGTGTGTGGGGGGCTTCAGTCCATCCACAGAGTCAGTACTAAAGTAAAACTGTCAACACAGCAGGGCTTTCTTCATCATAATAAAGCAACAAAGTGCACATTCCTAATAAACAGAATCAATTAGCACCAGCTTGAAACATCTGCACGGAAACAAAGCAGTAATTTAACAGATTACTGCTCTGATTGAGCGTCAGTCAAATCTTTTAACTGCTCCTAATGACAAAGTATAATATTAATTAAAAATATAACGGTAAAGTGTGTGGGAGGAACAGATTTCTGATGAAGAATGTGTTAAACTGTGGGCGGCCGTGGTGCAGTGGTAGTGGCAGCCGACCTCTGATCGGAAGGTTGGAGGTTCGAATCCCGACTTCCCACACCATGTGCCGTTGTGTCCCTGGGCAAGACACTTAACCCCGAGTTGCTCCCGGTGGGACTGGATGGCGCCTTGCATGGCAGCCTACCGCCACCGGTGTATGAATGTGCGTGTGAATGGGTGGATGGCTGGTACTGTAAAGCGCCTTGGGGCCCCTCATAGGGGGCTGGAAGGCGCTATAGAAGTAAGCTCCATTTACCATTTACCATTTACCAAACTGGAAGAATACCTGAAGCTGGAGTAAACAGGAGCAGAGTGCAGCTGAGAAACACTCAATGTTGTGAAACGACTTCATTTGACCGCACAAAAATAATATCTGTGCACAAAAATAATATCTGTGCACAAAAATAATATCTGTGCACAAAAATAATATCTGTGCACAAAAATAATATCTGTGCACAAAAATAATATCTGTGCAGAAAAGGGCTTTTAAAAGACACAAATGTAACCAATAAAACTATTCCTGTTGCAAGATCAGAGTAAAAAAACCCACTCTACATGTATTAAATTATTTATAACATGATATGATTTTGCATCTATAATGGAAATCTGAAGCTCCAACAAGTGGTTTAAATGAGTGGTTCCCAACCCTGGTCCTTGAGGAACACCATCTTGCATGTGTTAATTGTTTTTCTGTTCGAACACACCTGATTCAGTGATTTAATTACTTCCTTAAGTTACACAGAAGCCTCTTAATCACTCTTTCATTCAAATAATCAAGTGTGTTGGAGCAGAGGGACAAAGAAAACATTCAGAATGGTGTTCCTCAGGGACCAGAGTTGGGAACCACTATATTTTTTATATATATATTTATTTATTAATCAGTGTACTTATGTATGTTGCTTCAAGTTATTAAAAAGACAAAAATGGTCCTCTTGAGACAAAATATCTAACAATGTAATTAAAATATCTAACTTTGGTTGTTTAGGTTTGCTAAAGTGATACTTTGGAAGTGGGATTCAGTCGAATGTTTATGAACAAGTGATATCTTACCTGCCGTAGATAGCTCTTTGAACAATCACAGTTTGGAAATTTATTTTTATTAGATTGATGATCTTAAAGTTAATTTGAGAAAGGCCAAAGCCAGCTTGGACTGCTGCCATCTAAAAACAACGTCAACTTTAATTTGTGTTTCATGCGAAAACCGTTTTAGAAACCTTTACATCCCAGATAAATTCACGTTACATGATTAATCTGGCAGGAAGTGCTAGAGCTAGCTGCAGCTGACATCGACTGCGCATGCCAAATAATCCTAGAATTTTATGTAAATGACCCATTGACGCAAAAAATAAATAAATATTTGTTGTTTTAAGACGGCACTTTGGTCTTGGCCCTGCTCAGACTAGCCTTTAGCTCATCAATCCAGACAGAGCTGAACACTTTGTTTTTCTTAACTGTTGTTCTATGAATTACCTCCATCCTGTCCCCAGAACCCTCTTCCAAAGATTTGAACTACCACTTTAATCACAAGCGCATGAAAAACCAGCGATGGCCGAGAACGAAGAAACAGCTGAAGTCTAAAAACAGAGATCCAAAACTGAGACCAGTGGTTCTGTCGCCTCTTCTTCTTTAGCAGAAAAAACAAAAACATGAGTCAACTTAAACGTCAGGGGCGCCTACAGAATATTTTTACTGTGGGGGCCACAGAGGATGCTGGGGTGGCACCAAAACTAAAAGCCAGAACAGAATTTCATATAAATGTTATTTTATCATGTATACAGGTTATCTGACAAATGTAAAAAAAATAAAATATGGGAGTTAAGAACACTGCGTTATACACATAGGTCCACTTTATTTTTATTTTTATTTACAGTTGATGTTATTTAATGAGAAAAGCACCATCACTACACAGGCTTGTCCTCTTCTAAATGTATTCTTATGAAAAAAACATAACCCATATAAAACGGTTTGGTCAAAGGGGGCTTTTGGCAAGGGTGGGCACCAATTGTTTATGGGTGGTTATTGCCCACACAGCCGGATCAACTGCCACAACACTGAGCAGAGGAACTCCTGCGGATCGCAGCAGGAGGGTCAGTTCCTGCTCCTCTGCGTACACAACGAGCCGTTATAATTATTGTAACATGTTGGGTAACTGCAGCCTTTCATCAAACCAGCGACAGAAGAAATTTGAAGCAGCTGCTGAACGAGGGAGCAGGTTGAGAAAAACAGAGACGAGCGTGACTTTTGTCTTCCACTGAATCCCAGAACACGCTGCATCATGCGAGAAGCTGCTGTGATCTACTGCAGGTCGTCTCTCCGGATCGCAACCCTTCAGTTTTCTTCATCAAACTGTTTTCTGCTGTCAGTCTTACGAAACGCAAACCCCCACCCCCACCGGGCTGCACTTTCTGGATTAAAAGCAGCTCCGTTCAGACTTGTCATCTGTTCTGAGACAAACTTTCTTTCATCGGCTCAGTCAACTCAAAACATTTCGGCTGACGGTAAACCGGTCTGTTGATTCTGCTCATGCAAATCAAAAGATACAGGTTTGTTGAAACACTTTGGCTCGGCATGCTGCTGTTCCGATGCCGACTACGAGTTCGGCTCATAAATGAATTTAAATATAAGAGATGCTTCAACTCTGCTCCGATGATTCCTGTTGAAAAGTCAAAAACGTAATTTCTAGTCAGCTGCAGGTAGATTTTGGAGTCAAACTTTAACGTTCAGATATTTTTTAAGCTTCTTCTCGAACACCACGCAACACAAATCTCTCACTTTGGTGCAGAAGGGACAAACGGATTAGTAAAATTATGTTTTTAATGTTTTGACATGTTCAAATCAGCGTGTTATCTGCACCTGCTCTCTGTTGTGATGGACAAAACATTTTCCAAAGATGCTCTTCCTGAAATTTCTAGGCTCGTTCTACTCAGCCATATTTGTTGACCTACTCGGACGACAGCGTGATGAAGGTCAGTGATGATGTCTTGGTTTTCAGCAGATTAACGAGGAATGATCTGTGGGGACGTTTAGTTTCCGATGGCGATGCTGCGCTCGTTGAACCTGCAGTCGTTTCCATGTCAGATCATTAAATGTTGCTGTGATTGTGTAAATTAAACTAGACGCGTCTGCTCACACACACTTCAGTCTCAAACATGAAGACCGTTTCATCCAAAACAGTGAATACACAAATGTTAGTTTGGACCCAGGATGCGGTTGGTTTGCTCCTACATGTAGAAACAAGTGAGCAGGACAAACAGCACTCTGCTACCCACCATTATTACCGACGTTAATCTAATCGTACTGTAAAACTATTGCCTGTAGTGCGCATGTGCGATTTCACAACGATGCCGGGCGTTTCAAAAAAACCTCCACTCTGACACCTGAATTCAAAAGCATCGGTTTCACTTAAGAACTGCATCAGGTTAAGTGTCTCAGTCAAGTTCTTCGTTTACACTGAATGCACACCCACATTTTAATTGTACCATATTTTTTGGACTATAATACAATACCAATGAACTGTTTTCATACATAAGGCGCAATAAGCGAAACAAAACAAATAGCAAAATTTATTCAACTCGTTCAAAATAACTACATAAAATCAGCTCGAGGTCAGTAAGTACAACCAGAGTTAATACATAAGGCGCACCTAATTATAAGGCTCACCGTCGATTTTTGAGAAAATTAAATAATTTAAAGTGCGCCTTATAGTCTGAAAAATACGGTAATCAATTAACTATTCGACTGGAAAGCTACCAAGCTTTCAAATGGTACCATTTGGTATAGTTAAAGAAAACCATTTTATGTTTGATTTCATAGTTTGCAGTGAGTACCTTTGAGTAAAAAAAAAAAAAAAAAAAAAAAAAAAAAGACATTGAAGATCTTCAACTAGTGACAAAGAAGTTATTAAATATAATTTGAAGTTAAAACCAACTCGTTAATCTGCCAGTTAGATCATAAAACGTGAAATACAACTGGGCAAAAACAGACTCAACAACTTAAATGTGAAATAGAACATAAACCTGAGAAATTCACGCTTCAAGCTTTGGTAAATAAATTACCTTATGGTCATAATAACCAAAACAAAGCCTAAACCACTTTAATATTTTGCGTACCTCAAACTCTTCTGCGATCTTGGGTCCATCCAGGAACAGTCTGGTGCTGAGACAGTCCACCGGACCAAAGTTAGCTACAAAAACAGATGAAACGTGTTTATAAAAAGTACTCCTACATCAAGTTAGACACTGATCTGTGAAGACCATCATCCTACAGACATCTGAAAATGGAGATTGCACAGACCATTCAATAAAGCAAAGTGTTCGACAAACTACTCGGAATATTCACCAAACGGTTCAAATTTGAGCTACAGTAATACCGCTGAAGGATAACGAGTCAGAAGGAACAAACAGCAGATAATCCTTTCAAAAGTAAAATCTATTTATGTCTACTCACAAGTGAACTCCTTGAACTCCTGGAACACTTTGGGGTACATGGCGGCCGACATCACGTCCTCAGGGGTGATGTCATTACCATGAGTGGTCCGAAGCTGCTCCTCCAGAGACTGGAAATCCATCGGAGGCAGGGAGGCTCCGGGGCGACCCTCGATACACGGGAGGGACTTCAGCACCTGGAATGGAAGGAAAAAGTAGTGATGACGGTGATACCGAACCAAGACGTTTAACGTTCCCAAGGGAGGGGGAGGCTGAAACCCATTACAAAGATAAACTGATGTATTGGGGTAAGATAACTTAAATACGCCGAGTCAAACGGAAAATAAGAAGCATTTGAATTCAATATTTGCACACGCTCGAGTCAAACCGGGAGGCTCCTCCACGGTTCGCTCAGCCCGGCTCCACTAACCGTTGTGTTTAAGGTCATTAGCCGAGCGTTGGCGCTCTGTAAACAGTGACGCTAAGCAGGTGCTGTGTGGTCCAGCTGTAAACAACAGCTGCTGTCTTCTACTCAGAAACGCAGATGGTTGAGGGTTCGTGGAGCCAAGGGAAGATAAAAGAACCAACATTGAATGAATCATAATTTCATGTCCTCCAGTCGCCAAAGAGACATTGTTGGAGATGAGATGTCAGACACACAATCACTCGGTAACACTAACAAATAGGCCTGTTATGATAAATTTTGCCGGGCGATTAATTGTCTCAGAAATTATTGCGATAAGCGATAATATTGTTTGAAATTTGACAATACTAATTATTGTCAAATTTAAGAAGAAATGTTGGTTTTGAGTGCAGTACCTTTTTTGACCACCGGATGGCAGTATAAGACTGTTTGATCCGAAGGATGGATAGTGAGGGAGCGAGCAGAGTGTCTTTAAGGAAAATATGAGGGAGGCCCCTTGACGTGACATGGGCCGTCTCTCCTTTTTTTCGGTTCTCAAAAGGATGGACGCTCGGTGTGGTTTGAGCTCTTTAGCAAAGCATTTTTCACGCAAAGCTTTAAATAAAAAAAAAATCAGTAAACAAATTCTCAACTTGTTTTTGCAGAGAAAAAACTTTTTAGACGAAGGCACGGGTTTCAACTGTGAATTTTGAAGCTTCAACAAGACGGAGGTTTTTTCCCCCGAGGTAGGCCTGTTGGCTTAGCTCGTAACTTAGCTTCTCGGCTTAGCTGCTTTTAATGATCCAAAAAATGTGATTTTGGACGGTTAAAACTGATTTTAAAGAGAAAAGAGAAAGGGAGAGGTCAGTGAAGAGCAAAGGAGTTGAGCTTTTTGTCATCCAGTGTCTTCAGTAGAAAGAGAGAGACACGAAGAAACGATAAAGCCGATAAATGAAAATGAGTTCGATAATTTTCATTCATCGTGCGATTAATTGATTTATTGTTTATTACAACAGGCGTACGAACACATTTGACCCAAATTTTAAACTCACAACCCCTGATGCCACACCTGGTCAGGATGATGGCGGGCTGCACAATAGACAAAAATTATCGCCAACATAATGTTAAAATTGCAAAAAACTGCAATAAAAATTCTCTTTTTGTTTTAAAATTAATCTTTATTTAACAAAACAGAACAAATCCCATTGAGATCACAGATCTCTTTTGCAAGGGAGGCCTGGGCCTGACGGCAGCCTAACATGCATGTTTTTGGTCTGTGGGAGGAAACCGGAGTACTCAGACTCATGCACGGAGAGAACATGCAAACTCCACACAGCAAGACCCTAGGTCCAACCGGGGATTGAACCCAGGACCTTCTTGCTGTGAGGCAACAGTGCTAACCACTGAGCCGTCGTCCTGACGTCCGCACCTGGTTTAGATGGCGGTGAAGACAGAACAGAAAGTGAAGCGTGAGGAGGACGGAGTTTTCAAATGATATCTTTACAAGTCTAAGGGTGTATGAGACTGACAGATGGATTGGTGCAGTCAGAGGGGGGCGGGACTTGGGCCTCAATACCTCAAGATTTCCCACATTTTGCTATTTTTTTAACGGGTTGTTAACTATCTATGTAAAACAAGCACCGGCTTGCGGATCCCCAGGGGTCCGGGGCCCCCAGTTTAAGAGCCACTGTCGGCGACTCTTTATTTGAGCCACAAAATCCAGTTTTGTTTACAAAACATGTCAAAATGGTTGACAGGTGTGGTCCTTAAGGACGTTAAAACAATGAGCGTCTAAATTGTTCTTAAAGCGTGTTCAAACAGACAAAAAGCAGAAGGAACATTTACAATTCACCTTTTTATTCAGGGCTTTGAAGATGTGAAATATGCAAAAGAAGATTTTAGCACACCTATGAAGTTCTGTGTGAAGGTGGCATAGAAAAAAATGTCGCTAATCACCGCCCCGAGCTCCCATTTAGTTAATTTTGTTTTTAAGTAGCGTAGAGTGTATTTTAGATAAAACGCAGCATGATCATGCTTCCTGGTTTGGTATCGTAGAAGCGTGCTCGGTTAATGCGAGTCTGCATATCATTTAGCCACTGGTGTATGTGCGCACGCCGTATCATATCTTTGAGTGCCTTGTGGAAATAAGCAGACAAAGGACGGTGCGATGCTATTAGTCACAGGTCTAACGGTTCAAAGATAGCAGAGTCATTTGTGTTACAGAGAGACTCTTTAAAAAGACGGTACGCTCACCGGAGTCCCTGCTCATTAACGATGTCTCCTCTGAGAATCTTACACCTCGGCTCCTTGATTCTTAAAATGTGAGACAGACAGAGAGCGGCGCAGTGTGTGTACGTGTGAGGCAGGTAGTGTCTGCGGTGATAAAACTTAGATTAAAAGCCACCGTATGTAAATCAGTTGCTCAGAATATACTAAAAAATAGGACGTCACAGTTAGATTTATTTTTAGACAAGATGATTCTTGTTAAGTGCAAATGGAAACTATGAATTATTTGGATGATGAGTGAGTAGTAACTCCTGAATTTAATAATATACCGGTGTGAGGGCGCCAAAGTTTTAAACAACACTAAATTCTGTTCAACTTGATTCCAAACGGCCAGACCTTCTTGAAATATTTTAAAGTGGTCTTGATCAATGGTTCTCCAAGTTTTTGGAAGCTCTTTTAAAGTTTTTATTTGGACTTTGGCTGCTTTTTCACCCATTTTTTGCTTCAGGCAATTATATAAAAAAAAAAAGATAAAAAAAAAAAATAAAATCTTTAACTCAGCTAAAAATGTACGAATTTTTTAGTGTCTGGTTGCTAGTATCAAAATTACTAGCTAGCTACAGTACTAGCTAGTAACTACTAGCTAGCGACGGTATTATCTAGTTGGTAGTTACTAGCTAGCTACAGTACTAGCTAGTAACTACTAGCTAGCTACGGTATTATCTAGTTGGTAGTTAC